TGATCACAGACTCTGACAATAATATAGTAAAGAAGGTGCCAGTGATTGCAGTGCAGGTGTTTCTAAGTGGTCTTATATATGTTACTCTGTCTGAAGATAGCAGTCATGATGAGCAAGTCATGCTCTGAACATTTGCTGAGGAGGATACTACTGGAATTCACTTTTCCCACCCCCTCTTTCCCAATGGTGCCACCTCAGAATTCAGAGCAGGGGCAGGGAAAATATGGCCAATGGGCCAGATCCAGCCCACTAGGCCATACTATCCAGCCTGTGGGGCCCCTAAAAATTTAGACAATTAATAGTTATCTGCCCCTGGCTGCCTGTCAAAGATAGCAAGGCATGAGCAGCAGCAGGACCCAGGGGGAGCTGGCGGCAGAATCAGCAAGGCTCGTGGGCCCTGCCCCAACCCAAGCCCTCCACTTCTGGCCTGGCGACCTTGGGGCTGTTACCCACCTACCTCTACCCAAGAGTGGAGAATCAGATAAAAATGGGTGGGGGGAAGAGGAAGGATTGCCAGCACAGCAGGAGCTAGGTTAGCCCAGCCAGCACCTGCTGCATCATGCGGTCCTGGCCTTGCAGCTGGGAAACGTGCCCTGCCAGAAGGTGCCTGGCTGGGCTGGCCGGCTCTATGCCACACCACAGAACACAGCAGGAGGCAGCTTGGTGCCTGTGGTTCCTGGCTGGCTCCCACTGCTGCCTCTATAGTGGGGGCCATGCACTTGCAGCTCCTATGCTGAAGCCAGCTGCCTTTCTCACCCCCTGCTGCACATGTCTGTGGACTCTGCCAGGAGTGGAGAAAGCCCTGCCCCCTGCAGAGTCCAGCGCAGGGTTTCCCCTGGTGCGAGTGTGGGAGCTGCAGGCACACAACATGGAGCCCCTGTAATAGAGGCAGCCAGGCAGGCTGTACTTCTAGCCCACCCACACGCAGCACAGGCCAGAGCCATGCCCTGCCAGGTGCCAGCACCTGGCACAAGTGCCCTGAGACCCCTTGCCTGCTGCTGCTGCCAGCAGCAGGGGTTGAGCACCATGTGGTGGGTTCCCTCACACCCCACAAACCACACACACTCATTGACTGGGCCCCCACAACTGCCACCGACATATACACACCCCCAGTATACCCTATGCCCTCCTACACAACCACAGTCCTTCACAACCCCCCCCACACAATATAAAAAAGTGAGACTTTATTTTTGAGTTATTATGCAATTCCTTCTATATACAGCGCACGATCACAAATCATGACATACATTTTTTGTAATTAAATTAAAATATGTTTTAGCAGGTGTTTGAATTCTAGTGTATGATTTATTTTTTTCTGGTTCTAAGATGGCAACCCCTTCCCAAAAGGTGTATTTCTGAGGTGCAAGGGAAGAGACTTCCAGTGGCAAAGGTCAGGGGGCAGGACTTCTGATCCCAATATGGTAACCAGGGGGCGTGGCAATGGTAAAGGGGCCAGGCTACCCATGTGGCCCTTGACAGCTCACCAAAACTTGTTAAGCAGCTCTCCAGCCAAAATAATTTCCCGCCCCTGGTTCAGAGTGTCACCCAAATTAAACTACAAATATGGCAGAGATTTTTAACAGGGAGGGGGATAGCTCACTGAATAAACACATCCAGTTTTAGATATTCTATTTCTTAATGTTTTCAGGACTATAAGGTTTAGCCAAACACAAGTGATTTGGCTTGATGCAGTGATAATATAGTGAAGTTCTATGGCCTGCTTAACATAAGACATATGACCTAATGTCCCTTTATAGCCTTAACAAATATGAATCTATTAACAGCAATAAATAAATGAAGCACTTGTTTGGACCCTGCTTTTTATTTCCCTCGATTACATGTTCTCTCTTCCAGTCCTGACATTCCAACCAGATCCACAATCCTGTGCAGATCCTACTGACCAATCAAAATTTGTAGTATGTTTAGTTTATAAGTATTGCTATTTGGGTGCTACTGTTATATGAATGATTAATTACGATAAAGCAAAATACCGTGTTGATGTTACAATTTTTGTAATTAATCACTTAGCTGCCACAGTGATATACCAGATAGGAATTTACAACTTAAACAAATTGGAGGATTGGACCAAAAGAAATTTAATGAGGTTCAAGAAGGATAAGTGTAAAGTCCCACACTTAGGAAGGAAGAATCCCATGCACTGCTACAGCCTGGGAACTGACTGGTTAAGCAGCAACTCTGCAGAAAAGGACTTGAGGGTCAGAGTGGACAACAAGATGGATATAAGTCAGCAGTGTGCCCTTGTTGCCAAGGTTAACAGTGTAGTGGGCTGCATGATCAGGAGCCTTGCCAGCAGATCAGGGGAAGTAATTATTCTGCTCTAGTCTGCACTGGTGAGGCCACATCCAGAGTACTGTGTCCAGTTTTGCACCCCCATAGAAAGAATGTGGACAAGTTGGAAAAAGTCCAGTAGAAATCAACAAAAATGGTTCAAGGACTGGGGCACATGAGTTCTGAGGAACGGCTGAGGGAACTGGGCTTATTTTGCAGAAGAGAAGACTGAGGAAGGATTTGATAGCAGCCTTTAATTACCTGAAGGTTGTTTTGAAAGAGGATGGAGCTAAACTGTTCTCACTGGTGACAGATGACAGAACAAGGAGCAATGGTCTCAAGTTTCAGCACGGGAAGTTTAGGTTGGATATTAGGAAAAACGTTTTCACTAGGAAGGTGGTGAACCACTGGAACAGGTTACCCAGAGGTGGTGAAAGCTCCATCTTTGGAGGTTTTTAAGGTCTGGCTTGACAAAAACTTGGCTGGAATGATTTTGTTGGGGATGCTCCTGCTTTGAGCAGGGGGTTAGACTAGATGACCGGTTGAGGTCTCTTCCAACCCTAATTTTCTATGATTCATATGAGTGACTGATTTAAAAATATTATGAATTGGGAAGTGACTTGAAAAATATTTATACCTGATTTGTAGCAAAATGAAGATAATACCAAGTAGGCCAGACTTTTACCTTGGTTACAGGCCAATGTGATATGGACTGAACTTTCAATTTGTCATTTACAGTAACTCTGCCACACTTCATAAAAAATAAAATCCTTTGAAGCTCCTAACTTCTTTATGTAAATATTTTGTATCAATGCCCATGTTCAGTTTCACCAATGTAATTTAACTTAAGAAGTTTGAGTAAACATCTAGATCTATTTGGGTATTTTAGGAAATAACTAACTATTTCCTTCAATTTTTAAGAGACATTTAAAATATACAAATTTTGCTGTTATTTCCCCTAAGACAGTTTACTTTAAATATGCTTCATATAAACGCACTGATAAATAGAATGGGGACAAACTAACTGATAACAAGTTTGTATTGCTGAATGTGGGAGTATTTTCTTCTCTGCTGTAGGATAGGAATTTTGTTAATACTGTCACCTGTTCACTAAGATAGACTAAGTTATCATTTTAAATACTATGAAAAATCCCACATAAACATTTGGGTCTGGCGGAACAAGGCTACTGATTTATTTCTTTACTACATAGTTTGTAAATCCAGCTTCCACTCATGGTGAGCACTAGATAACATTGTGTCTTGTACGATCTTTTATGCAAAAATCCTCAATACTTCAGAAAACTTAGAGAAAATGAACTTGCTAGATTCTGTATGTATTAGTGCAATGATACGTGAATGTATTACAGATATCACATAATCGTCCCCCACTTTTCACAGAATGAGGTATAGTTCTACCAGAATAATGACAATGCCTAGGGTACTTTGCATCCAGATAGATTGAATAGCTTTTTCCAAATTTCCATTTGATCAAACAAATATCTAAAAAGCTTTTATAAGTACATATATCATTGCACCCTGAGTAAGCTGTAAGTTAATGTTGGCTCTTTCACTCAGGGTGCCTCTACATATTCTGGTAATGGCGCAGTGGGATCCAATGTGTGATCCACACAATCACACCTGCCATGGCAGGTGGTGTAATAATGGGATCATACATTACATCTGTGGTTCTCAACCTTTTTCACACCAGGACTCGTTAGCGTCATTATCAGCTTGCCATGACTTGAGACCCACAACCCCCTGACCCTGACCCACACAGTCTCTCTTCCTCTCTCTCTCCCTCTGCCCCCTCCTCTGGCTGCTGCACCCAGCCCCCTCCCTCCATCTCTGGTTCCTGGGGCATGCTCTCACAATACTGCATGCTCGCCACACCCTCCATTGCATGCTGTCTCCATGCAGGCTGCCAGCATTGCAGCCTGTATGGGGAAACCGTGTAATTCCCTGGGACCTTGCTGCAACCCTTTACAATGTTTTGTGACCCACTTTTAGGTTGCGACCCACGGGTTGAGAAAAGCTGCATTAGATCACATTGCATCTTACTGCCGGTGCAAGGAAAACCCAATCCCAGACTACTCTGCACTGGTCAGAAGCAAGCTCCTGTTGCTGGGAACCCCTCCACAGCTAATGGGTTCTGAGCTATGGGGGACCCCATACACCACATGGCTGGGAGAGGCGGCTGCCAACAATCCTTCTACCTTGGGGGTGCATGAAACCTCTGAGGCTGGGTGATCACAGCTGCTGCTATCTCCCAGCCCCAGGCACGTGTGAAACCTCAGAGGCTAGGAGACTACAGCTGCTGAGATCTCCCAGCCTATGGGGGTTTCATTCACTCCTGGGGCTGGGAGATAGCAGCAGCATCTCCCAGCCCTGGGGACTCCACACACCTCCAGGGCTAGGAGATCACTCCCACACAACATGGCTGCTGGGACCCAGCTGAGTTGAGGCTGATGAGGTTCCCAGCCACAGGGGAGATCCTACTACATGTGCAAATTAAAGCTTGATAGCAACCAGCTATAAAGTTAGTTCCCATTTTTGTGGTCTATCTTTATAAGTAATTGGAGTTTTATGGCATGATAGGTACTTTGCACCTGTAGTTGGTCTCAAGGTGCAAATTACCTTTAACCAGTTCCTTGTACAATACCTGTAACATGTAGAGGGGACTTCAGAAATCATTCTCAATGATAATTAATTACCTGGGAGTATCTCCATTTTTGGCACTTGATGTTAATTGGTTTAGGCAAATCTGGCATTACAATTTCCAGTTGCTCCAGGATTAACTGCTGCACTCTCTCACAGTCCCACTCGAGGTATTCAATTCCAAATGGCACACTGGTATGAACAACAACAGATGGCCCAACTTCAGAAGGTTCTGTATGGGTGACATAGAAAGAAAGACAACTGCATAAATCGTCCCTAAGGTTGCACACATCCACTGAACTAAGATTTAGGTTGTTTTTCTGAGTTTAAAAATGCAGTTGTGGAAACTGATAGTAGATGTATCCATGGATGTCACCCTCTTCAGGAAGAAGTTAGCATATCATGTCAGTCACAATGCTTAATATCTAATGTATCTTTAGGAGTGGCTTATATACTTAAGGCTATATTTCCAAAGAGGTTTCAACTGTTGGCTTCAAAGGATTAAACAGATAAATCTGTTCAGTCATATTAGTGCATGACCTCAAACAATGATTTGTGTGTCTGTACTGAATAGGTGCATGTAGTTACCAGTTCAACAGAGGAACAGAGGATTTTACTCAACTTAAAATGGATCACAGCTTAAATTAAACACAGACAGCAATACTAACAAACTTCAGTGATTTATAGAGAATACATTCTTTATTAGGGTTTAATGCCTTGGCTTGAAAGACAACGAATTTTGTTCCTGGATTCTCATCTTGCCCAGAGACATTATCTTATTATTAACTTGATCTGAATGAAACATGTATGATGTAGTGCAAATATGTATGTATCAGAAAATGAAAATGAAGCATGGATAAGCAGCAGGAAGAACTGGATGTTTTGCTCTGGGGAAGCATGTGCAGTGCTTTTGAAGGCATTTGTATTCTTTAGTAGATGTAACTTGGGACTAGCTAATTTCCAGATATCTAGTAAGTTCTCATAAGACATGCTGTTGGAGGAAGAAAGAAGGACCTTTGGCTACCAGGAAGGATAGTTAGAAACCCTACTGATAGTGAATCCTGAATGACTCCTACTCCCCCTGCTGGTAAACACTCCCCCTCCTTAGCAAGCTAGCTAAGCCTGATTTCCCCTGATGCTCAGCCTTGTTCTATTACAGGCAAAGAATCAACAGGAAGAAAAGGGCATGCACCTACAATGGTGGTTGTAGCAGTTATAGGTCAAGCCAGCTTGGTTCTGTTCTTTTAGTGGAAACTGTTGAATTAGTCAAACCTGTCCAGGATCCCAAGGGTTAACTTGCATAATCCTTGAGGCAGTCTACTACTAGCTACTAGGGGTATGAGAAGTGGGACCTATTCAATTTGGATTCGGCCCAAATCGGGGACAGTGATTCATTTAGTTGATCCGGATCACTGTCCCTGATTCAATTTGGCCAAGTCCGAATCTGAAGATTCGATGCTGATTCAGAGAATCAGTGATTCAGACATAGACACAGCTTTTGCTACGTACCTTGAAGTAGCAGGTGCAGCTCGTGTGATCCCTGCGATGCTGGGGTGCATGAAGCTTCCCACAGGAGTGCGGGGGGGGGGGGGGCCCCCCCGGGCTTGGGGGCAAACGGGGAAGAACTTTTGGCCCCTTTTGGGG